ATGAGATAAGATATTTGCTTCTATTTTTTGTTAAAAATAAACTAAATAGATTTACAAGAATACTCATAAATGCGTGCTATAATGCATGTTTGAGCCATCTATATTGGACAGGATTTGTTTTAGTCTCATTAATTCTAAATCTAATTAAATAATATTTTTCTATTCAGTTTTTGATAGTGAATGAGAATAAAATGTTTTCCTAAAGTTTGAAAAATATAGTGTAATTGAAATTTGATGATTTGTGTGAAAAAAGGGCGTTCATAATTGCTATTCAGTTATTTGAGTTTTTCATGACACTTTTCAGTCAAACACTGGTCGAATAGAAATAAGAACTATATACTCGTCACCAGCTTCTTAAACTGTATAAAATCATTTATAAACGAACGATAAAAAATTCACTCGAATTTCGCATTCTCTGCAACTTACTAACGAACCATATTGACAATGTAAAGATAATATAACTCTATTATAATTAATACAATAGAACTCAATTAAGTTCTAACAGTCTAATAGAATTCTTTTAATATGAACAGTATTTTGTGAATAACTTATCTATATGTAAGATTATCGGAAAATGTCTGCATTGGAATATGCTCTATTTATTTTCGTAATTGTCATTTCATTTTATCCATTCATTATTGTGTCTTTTTATTTTGAAAAACTTACGATGGAATACATTATGGCATGAAAAGAGATAGAAATACATGCTAAAAAAGAATATATATTTGATAACTTTACTTTTTTTAGTGACAGAAAGTGTTTTTATATATGCTTTGAGCTTTTGTATAGCTTCTAACTTACACAATGATGTATCTTCAATAGACGATAACAGTGTTCTTTGTTTGCCTTTAGCTGCTAGCATTACACAGCGTCATTGTGTGATACCATTATGTATGCATATCAACGGTAAACAAGGAAATTTCAGATATAGAAGTATTCGACAATGTATGGAATCTAATATGCGATGCAAAAATTCTTTGGACAAATGTTGAATCACATTGCCAACTTCTAAACCAATCGAATTTTTTTGTTGGAAAGAGCAACATCTGAACTACAATTTTTTATCAGAATTATTTCTCTGGAACAAATCTACGAATTAGAAGTCAGAAACCAAACACCTCTAAAAACGTTCTTGTAACATTTTTGCAACTTGGAAAGTTTCTCTTTCTCAAGTATCTTAAGTTACATGGATCGAATTCTAACAAAAAATATATTAATATGTCATACATCAAAAGTTCTAACGATATGAACTTTGGTAAATTTTTTTACGATCTACTCTTGACTCTTTAATTAGAAAAAATAGGAAATAATAATTTTTGTAAAATGGTCTTTTTCAAGAACTATCAACTCAGAGGGAGATCAAACTCAATCTCCAAAAAATCTACATGAACTGAATTTTTTATCTGTTATTTGTTCGAAATACGTCTGATCCTAGAAACTTAGCAAAAAAGCTCTGTTTATTGTTGCAAAACAGTCAAATAGTAAGAAAGACTAAGCTATAAAAAAGAAGTCAAGACTAAATTTAACTTCCAATATACCATTGGAAAGAACACTCGTTATGCTACAAAAAAATCATTAAACATTCGTTTTCATTTTGATTCTGATATAAAAAAATGAACAAAAAATAGAAAATGATATTTCATGAAGGTGAAGTTGCAAGAACTTTTTTTTAGAGATCTTTGGTTTTTGACTTTTTTTGCTTCATAGATAGGTTATGGAAAACAAGGTTGGTACAAAAGTTGTAGCCCAGACTTACTTACTTCTAATAAAAAAAAAATTTGATTGATTTAGACGTTAGGAATATGGTCTAATAGGGTTTGACATTTGTCCAAAGACTTTTGCATCCCATGTTATCCATTCAAAATTGTTTAGAACAATATGATGCTAAACAGAATTTCGTATAATCATATAGAATTACAGAACTATTGTCAATCAATAGAGATGTGCGTTCTGTTAAAGATCTAATTTTGTGAATCATTATGTGTTAGATTTTATGAGATCTGTATTATGATATGTGATTTGAAAGTTCTTCATGGAATCACCCGCAGGATTCCATAATATTTAGTGCCATTCTACTTGATTGCATAAAACCAGAATCTTGTGTGGTTCGAGGATGTTTTTTCACAAAATCTGTTGTTTTTCTTGCCATATACCCTATATTTCAGGCTTTTATGAAAAAAAGTTTGTTAATGTAGCCCGTATAGGACTGAAATATGTAACTCATACGCCTTATTTAGCTACACTATTCTAGTACAAAATACACAAAGTATAGAATCTCTAAAAAATCACAGTTCTTGTCCAACAATAGTCGACTGTCAACAAATGCTCTGTGCTTTTATTTCTGCATTTCGAACGAACACTTAGCTTTGATTTTTTGTTTTTGACTGGCACAATTTTTTTTTCTTTCTTGTTGCTATGCGCATGGTATTTACTTTCTTTTTTTGTTTTATTTTCATAACTTATTATTATTAGTCTAACCATTGATTTCATTGAACGAATAAGCCTATTGTACGCATTCCCTATATCTGCAACAGATCTGAATGATCTATGATGTGTTTTGATGAACTCAGAAAGACTGGACTTGATTATTCCTAAAAGCTAGAACTTAATTAGTTCATTCTTTTATGTTCGTCATATGATATTTGTCGGAAATGAAAACATTATCCTTCATATCTTGAATATAATCGTTTATTTATGCAAAAATCAGAAACCACATTATTTAGAATATTATAAAAACGTATTCCAGTCGTTTAAGTTTCAGAGAAGGTTCTAGAACCTTCTTAGCCTTGTTATTAATGTCGTTTACCGTCTCTAACATCAGTTGTCAAGGTCTGTGATGATGGAAGGGGAAGCTCAAAAACTTCGATTTAAACGTCCAATAATTAATATTTTTTCGAAAATATACCTTGAGTTCCATAAAATAACAACTTTTGTATCTTGAAAAAAAAAATCTCGTTACAAGAATGTTACACGTCTAATTCCCACTTTAGTTCTTTTTTCCATTCTTACAAGATCACATTGGAAAAAATCTCACTGACTTAGTAATCGTTAGTCATTGCAAGATAGTTGTGCAATATTCTTTATTTCCTTCACAGAAGAATTTTCACGTAATTATTATATATATATATTCACAAAAAAGAGTACCAAAAGTCAAGATAGAAGCCATTAACATGTAACACAAGACGATCTGTTATTAAATCGAATATTCTTCATTTATTTAGATTTATGGATTTGAAATTCATTTATCAACCTGAATTTCATTTTCGATTTTTCACTTTCTCTGAAAAACCAAAAGAAATCGCTCCATGTATTCATGAATACGAATATATACCTTTAGTAACACTTGAAGAAGCAGTTGAACCATTAGTAATATGCATTCCTCAAGTAAAAGATATGATTAAATTAGTAAAAGAAAAATGTCAACAACCAAAAGATAATCTTTCTATAGATGAATCAGCTTCAATTATGCTTTATACAATGGAATGGAAACCGAAAGAAGATTCATTTTATTATATATTGAATCGAAAACTTCATTTAAATGATCATAATGAATTAATACCTTGGCATTTTTATTTGAAATTAATTTCTACATCATTATCAAAATTACCAAAATTATCTAGTCGAATTTTTTATCGAGCAATTCATTTAGATTTAGAAAATAAATATCGATTGAATAAAAAAATTTTTTGGTATGAATTTTTATCATGTATTTCATCGTTAAAAGTGTTTGATAAAAAAGAATTTGATTTTGTATCAACGGGAATTCGTACTTTATTTATTATTCATAGTAATCATGGAAGAAATATAAGTCAACATTCATTCTACAAAATAGAGCATGAAATATTACTTCCACCCGGACAACGATTTGAAATTGTTTCATATTACAAATCAAACAATGAACTTCATGTTATTGTTTTAGAAGAAATTTCATGTACAGATTCTATTGAAACACTATTTTCAACACTAACCAAAAATGTAAATTCAAGATCGTTTGATTTATTATTTCGAAAACGAATTAAACATTATGAGAGCTATTGTGAAATTAATTTGAAAAATCAAAATTTAACAGATATTCATATGAATATTATTACTGAACAAGCTATTAAAAATAAAAAATGTATTTGGCTTTCATTACAAAATAATAGAATTACTTCAGAAGGTCTATGTATTATAGCTGATGGTTTAAAGGAAAATGCATCATTAGAATCATTGGAAGTCATATTTACTAAATTCGGTAAAGTAACTAAAACACATGTGAGTATACATAAAATTATGATTATAATTATACATGTTTTATTTGTCATTTATTTAAGATTTTGAGAAATGGTAGT